AGATGATAAGGATCGATGAGCGTCTCGCAGCAGCTGCAGGAACCATTGTTGCGGTGGAGATACGCTGCCGTCTACCAACTGAAGCAGCGAAGCGGACTGTTGACACAGGGTAGCTGGATATGGCCGAGTCAATCAAGCCACCAGCTTGGATGATGGATGTATCGGGTCACAATCAGGTCCAGGTGCAACTGCAAGGAGAGTTGTAAATAGCTACCTGGAATGGGGAGGGAGGGAGCAGAGGTCGAGACTCCGCTCCGATACAAATGTGATGCACGTGCAGGAGGGCATGTGCAGCGGAGATGGCAAGAGAGAGAGAGAGAGAGAGAGAGAGAGAGAGAGAGAGAGAGAGAGAGAGAGAGAGAGAGAGAGAGAGAGAGAGAGAGAGAGAGGAAGGAGATGGACACACAGGAGAAGCAGCAGCTGAGTGAAGGTCCAGTCCGACTCATGGAAGAACCAACAACTGAATGAATGACCAACCCGGCCTGGGCCTAGGCCGGAGAGATATACCGGCCTTGGTCCAGGCCAGAGTAACCCGGTACCGGACCGGGGTCAGGCCGGCGGCCTGAAACAGGTCCGGCCTCACTGCCGGGCCGAAAGGGTACCGCTCCATAGCCGCCTCCCTCGTCCACGACCCCCCAATGTCCCTCTCCAATCTCCTCAACAGCGCCATTCACCTAGACAAATTCCTCACCTCGTACAAGGACTCACTCACATCCGCCCCACCCCGCCCACGATTCTTTCATAACATTGTCGACGAAACCTCTCTCTCTGCCTCCTCACACGAGTTCTCTGCCCTCGACCCCGACATCCTCGCCGACCCACTAGACACCACATCACTCTTCTTTGACGAACTCTCCGCCATTCACCTCATGCGAATGGAAAAGGGAGAACGCTCCAGCCATCCTCCCATGAACACCCACTCAACCCGTCTCACGAAACTCACGTCGGACGAGCGAACCTACCTCCAAGCAAAGGGTGGTTGTTCCCGTGTCGACAATTAGGACATCTACAGACAAACTGTCCAAAATGTCGAAGAGTTCACACGTCAGGCACCCAGGTCCGCGGCCCCTCGACCCGCCGCCTCCACATCCGCCACTCCCGGTCCCTCCTCATGAACACCGTTCCCAGTATCACCATGAACCCGTCCTGGCGTCGACGACTAGTCTGTCGGCCATCCCATCGGTGACGATCTCCACCCCACCGGTGACCCATTTGGCATCGATAATATGTCTGCTTCCCCCCTCCCGGTGCCGCACATCCCACCGGACGACCCCCAGGCGTCGCAACCCTCGTCGCCTGACGCCCCCCTCACCGCCACATGTTCCTCAACCCTCCTTCCAAATCCATCCTTCGTCACCTTCTCTGATGTTGTCGAGGAACAAGCCCGACTCAATCGGCTTGTCCGATTAGGCAATGAACAACGCCGCCGCAACACCATTATCTCCACCACCAACTCATCACGCTTTCACCTCAAATTCATCACCGCCCCCCTTGGTGCGTCTACGACTAAGTTCCGGGCTCTCCTCGACATTGGAGCCACTGGTAACTTCATCACCGATGCGTGTGCCCGGAAAGCCGGTTTTACCTCTACCGGTTGCGACTCCCCGTTAGGGGACAAAGACACCGCCGTCGTAGTAGACCGCACGGTTCCCGAGACCACCATGACTGTCGAAACCCTCCGTAGTCAGGTCTCATTCGAGATGTCATGCACTTAATGTGCGGCATCGTTTTGGGAACACCGTGGCTGGACCGCTACATGCCATACTCGTTCCACCCCAACTTCATCTGCCTTACCAACCCCCCTGACACAACCATCGACATTCCCTATCTCCCTTATCCCCCTCCCCAAGCTCCATCACCGCGCACCAATTCGTTTACATCGCTCGTACGTACCCTGACTCCACCTACTATTGCCTTGTCCTTGATCGCGAGCGTCCGCAGGACTTGCTTCCAACGGACAAACCCGACCAAGCCCCCCCCTCCAACCCTGCCCTCACCTCCATCCTCGACGAGTTCAAGGACATCTTCCCCGAGTCCTTACCCGCCGGATTACCTTCGCATTGTGGTGTGTTTCACACCATCGATTTGGAGCCCGGTCACTCTCCACCTTGCCGCCCTCCGTACCAACTCTCCGTTTCGGAAGCCGAAGAAATGAAGCGGCAACTCAATAAACTCCTTGAAAAAGGATTCATTAAGCCAACTTCATCTACCTTCGGCACAAGCTGCCTTTTCGTCAAGAAAGGCGGAACATCGGAACTCCGGATGTGCACAGACTACCACGCCTTGCATCGGATCACGATCAAGAACAAATACCCCCGACATCGGATCTCCGAGCTTCTTGATCGCCTCCGTGGAGCCAAATATTTTACCAAAATTGACCTCCGCAATGGCTTTCACCAGATCCGCATCTGCGAGTAGGACACCCACAATACCGCATTCCGTTCTCGCTTTGGGCACTACGAGTTCCATGTGATGCCCTTCGGACTCACCAATGCCCCCGCCACATTCAATCCACCATGAACCACATCTTTCGCGACCTCCTCGAAGTCTGTGTCGTCGTTTACCTCGATGATATCCTTGTCTATAGCCCCACCTTCGAGTCCCACTTTCGGCATCTCCGCCAAGTCCTCTCTATCCTCAGAGAGCAAAAATTCTACGCCAAGCTCAGCAAATGCACCTTTGCCGCTTCAAGCGTTGAATACCTTGGCCACATCGTCTCTGCTGAAGGAATACGCATGGACCCCTCGAAGGTCACCGCCCTCATCGAGTATCCACCACCCAAGACCCTACTCCAACTTCGTTCATTTCTCGGCCTTGCCAACTACTACCGCCCCTTTCTCCGCAACTTCTTTGACATCCCTCCACGAACTCACCCGCAAGGACGAACCCTTCAAAACGCCTTCGACTTCCTCAAACAAACCATCACCACCGCCCCCGTCCTCAAGATCGCCGACCCCTCTCGACATTTCTACGTTACCACTCATGCATCCGAATTCACCCTTGGAGTCGTCCTATCCCAACACTTCCTTCGCGACACCTCTAAAACCCCCACCATCAAAGACTTCCCCCCCCCACCCCGAGGCTCCCCCGGGCGAGTACCCCATTGCCTTCGCTAGCAAGAAGCTCCTTCCCATGGAGATGAATTGCCCCTCCAACGAGAAGGAACTCCTTGCCGTGATCCACGCCCTCAAAGTCTGGCGCCCGTACCTCGACGGGCAATACTTCACCATCCGCACGGACAACACCATTGTCTCCTCTATCCTCACCAAGAAAGACATCACGTCGTGCTAAGCCCGTTGGTTAGACTTCCTTGCCCAATTCGCATTCACCATTTGCCACACCCCCGACAAAAGCAACCGCGTTGCCGACGCCCTCTCTCGACGCCCCGACCACAAGCCCTCCGAGAAAGTCTACGCCGCCATGACTCATATCCAACTCCTACCATCGCTCCACCACCACTACACCCAAGGCTACCTCTCTTTTCTACAACAAACTTCGTGATCTCGACTCAATCCCCGACTACTCACTTCACGACCAACTTCGTTACATTGACACCTTGCATCCCCTATGCACGTGGCCTCCGTACCTATCCCTTGGCTGAGCATCACGACGCCAAGACTGCGTGACACCTCGGGTTCCAGAAAACCTTTGACACCATCTCTCGTTACGTCTACTGGCCTTCCCTACTCGCCGACGTCAAAGCCTACATTCGCTCATGCCCCACATGTCAAGCCATCAACCCCTCAAACCACGCCAAGTCCGACAAACTACAATCATTGTCGATCCCCACCCACCGGTGGCAGTCCATCTCCATGGACTTCGTCTGCGGTCTCCCTAAGACCGACCGCGGACATGATTGCATCTATGTCATTGTTTGCCGCTTGACTAAACGCGCCCACTTCATCCCTTGCACCACATTGCACAACGCCAAGGACGTCGCCATTCTCTTCTTCGACCATGTTGCACGCCACCACGGTATCCCCAAGAACATCATCAACGACCACCCTCGCTTCCTTTCACAATTCTGGAAACACCTCTTTAAAGCCTATAGAACCACGCTCAAGTATACCACTGCATTCCACCCACAGACCGATGGACAAATCGAGAAGATGAACGATACTCTCCAAAGAATCCTGCGGAAGTATTGTCATCCACATCAACAGGATTGGGATCAGTTGCTCACCGCCGACGAGCTCGCCTACAAGAATGTTGTTTGTCCTATCACTGACATGTCTCCATTCTACCTTGACCTTGGCTATCATCCGTGTTTGCCCTCCGACTTCCTGCTCCCCTTGCAACTCAACCCCTCCACTCCCTGCTCTTCTCTCAATGAATGGGTAGCAATAATGAACAGACTCTTCAAAGAAGCTACCGAAGCCCTTGAACGAACACAAGAACAACAAGCCAACAAGACCAACAAACACAGACGAGACGTAACGTTCAAAGTAGGGGACAAAGTCAGGCTCTCCGCCAAACGCTTTGAACCCAAACACGGCTTGTGCAAGAAACTCTCGAACAAATGGCTCGGTCCCTTCCCCATTATTGAACAAACCTCCCACGTCAATTACACGCTCCAACTCCCTCCTGACATGAGTCGTGTCCACCATGTCTTCCACGTAGAATACTTAAAAGAATACCATGAATCCCCACCCCAATTCGCTGACCGCCCTTACCCCAGACCTCCACTGATCATGCTTCCCACAGGCCCAGAATTCGTAGTAGAATCCATCATAGGTCGACGAACCACACAAGTATCAGACCATCCGGAACCAATCACATAATACAAAGTTAAATGGACCGGATACCCTGACGAAGAATCCACATGGGAACCTCTTCCTAACCTTAAGAATGCTATGAAACTTGTTCGCGCCTATGATCGTGCTCACCCTATATCCTAGAGACATAATATAACTCAAACCCTAAACCCTTGCATAAACCCTGCCTTGACACCGCCAAAACCCCGCATTCCTGCCCTGCACAAACCCCTGTACCCAGCGAAGCCCTTGCCTCTTGAACCCCCCCCCTGTCTGATCCTCTCTTGCCTCCGCCTTGCCCCGTTCTCCCATCTGTCCTCCGCCACATCCTTGTCTCTCTTGTCCAAGTCCTCTATGTGGCCCCTGCGCACCGGTGATAATGGATCTAATGGCAAGCGCGCGAGGACGATGGCATGCTGCAGCTCAGTACGAGAAGATAAGACAGCTGGTTGGCCACCGTGCTGTTCCCTTTGGCCGGCACCTTGGATTCGCAGACTTCTGGAGCAGCACCTCTGGCATGGACATCAAGATCAGTCTGCGACCTGCTATCCGGATCAGACCTCATCATCAGATCATGTACCGGACGCAACCTGCTACTGCGACAATCAAGCTGAAGTCCTCGCCGTCTACATCACGGAACTGCTGAAGACTGTTTCCTCATTGCCACTTCTGTGACACCCTCCAACACCTTCCCCAAGACATTTCTTCGGTTTTGACACTTTGTTACAGACCTGAGACGTTGTTTTCCCAGACCCCTCAGACACCCCAGCACTGGAGCATTGAACAAACGATTTTTTTTTTTTTTTTCTTTCTCAAACCTGACAACCTACAACCTTGTAGAACACCAATCGGACCTCCCGGTTACCTGTAGAACCTCAGTAAGATTACCCTGTTACTTGATCAATGATTCCCACATCCCTGTGGAACCTCAATAGGATTACCCTGTTACTTGAACATTGATTCCCTCATCCCTGTAGAAGCCCCATAGGATTACCCTGCTACTTGCATTACTCCCCCTTTCCTTTTCTGACCAGTGATCGGCCCCGTCCCGTCCTTCACAGTTGTTCATTGGGTCTTTGGCAGCCGGGACGTTACCTTCCAGAGGGAGGGGATAGTGTTACGGACCCAGCCAGGGCTCGATCCCTGGTCCGCGGGTTACCACCTGCCAGGATGCTATTCTATTTTTTTTTGGATTCTCTGATCTCCAGTTCCTGACTGTTGGCGCCCTCTGCAGTTGGCGCCTGTTCTCAAATCCCGCCTCTGCCACTTTCGGATTTCGTACTTGGCGCCATCCGGTATTCTGGCGCCCAGGCTCAGACCTTCGATTTTCAGTTCAGCCCCGAGGCAATTGCGCTTTTGCCCTCGGACTGAACTTGAGTCCGGTACTTAAGACCGGACTCAAGCTGAGTTCGGGGACGCAGTTTTCGGCCTCAGTGCTTGTGCTTCAGTGTGACTTGCCGCGACATTGTGTACGGAACCAAGATTGCGACTTTGCCACTTTGCCACTTTGTGTCCGTGTCGTGTCGAGTCCGTGTCGAGTCCGTGTCGAGTCCGTGTCGAGTTGAGTGAGTGTGTGTGTGTGCTCTC